GCTATGGCAGCCTGTCTCGTGTCACCCGCATTGATGAGCGCTACCGCCCCTCCATGGACACCTACCGGGCCCCCAGCCGTCAGGACATCTATGGCCCTCAGCCTCAAGTACGTGTTGGGGGCAGCAACATGGACCTCAACCATTTCCACCCTGAGCCATACGGCCTGGAGGATGACCAGCGCAGCGTGGGATTTGAAGATGTGGACTACGGGCTTATGTCTGACTACGGCACGGCCAGGCGGGCAGGGACCCCGTCTGATCCTCGGCGGCGGCTCAGGTACGTGGCTGGAAGCACTGGGATGGGGAATGCTACAGGGTCCCTTTAACCTGACCCTCTGTGGAGGAAGGAAGACTGCAGAGACATACCATGAGCTGAGTCACACGTGGCTCATTTGGGAGAAAACTTGCATCCACTTCTAATTGTCTGCTTAATTGGTGGTTAAAACTTGGTGCTAATTGAGCCAGTCCTCCTGCAGCAAGGAGTTCCACTGGGTGGTTGGATGTAGCTCCAGGCCCTTCCCTCTCTGTGGCACCCACTGTGCTCGTGGGATGGCAGGCTCATCTGCGCCCCAGCCTGGCTTGGTCCTGTTGGGAACGGTGCCTGATGGGGGGTGTGCAGCACAGCCCCACATCAGAAGTAGCAGCAGCCTCGCGACCTGCCGAACCCAGAGCAGCCCCGGGGAGCGAGCGGGGCTGAGCCCCGGGCTGGGGTGAGCGAAGGCAGCCCTGCAGTGCCCCGGGGAGCGTTCCTGCAGCACAGCCCGGCCCTTGTGCAGGGCAGGGCCGGAGAAGCTGCTCAACCTGTTTGGCGGTAAGAGCTTCTCCCCCTCGTTTGTGTGTGATTGACGGCGCCTCCAGCTTGACTGCTGAGCAGCTGCCCCACCAGACTGCGGCTGCCTTTGGGCACGTAGAGCAGGGTCTTGGTGGTCCTTTAACTGCCCTGCCAGGTATTGTAGCCAGGCGTCCTGGGGTATTACGTGCCTGAGGCTGTGATTCCTGTGGACTGGTGTCTTCTGCTAGACATGTCTCTTGCACAAACGCTGCTGTTGCCTGCTTAAGCCTCTCGGCCTCCTCTGCTTGCTGCCTGGGCTGTCAAGTGGGGTTTGGGGAGATGCTGGAGGACAGCTTGGAGAGTGGTGAGGTAGGAATGGAGCAAGGGGCTGAGCTGGGTCCCAGAGATGGGGAGGGTGCTGTGTCAGCAGGCTAGCGTGGATGTACGTCTCCTGATTGTCTCTGGGTGGGGGGGAAGACAGGTAAAGCTGAGCACAGGCTGCTTAAGCTCCTAGGGCGTAAAACAGAGGCGGGAGGGAGAGACCCAAGGGAAAGGAGACTCTTGCCAGCCCCTGCCTGAGATCTGCCCGTCTCGAGGTGCGTACTGTAAACCCCCAGGGTAGCTCCTGGCTGCTGAAGGGAGTAGAGGAGGAGCTTTATCCTTCCGGCTTGTGCCAGCACAAGTGTTTCTGTTGCTGTGCTGAGCCAGTCGGAGCGGTTGTTCACCCACATTGATTTCCCCAGCCTGCCTTGCCTTGGGAAGCTTGTACCAGCTAGAGGAGGGCAGTCAAGGCTGCTGCCCCCGCTGCCTGCACTGTCTGAAGCAGCCTACAAGAAGCCGAAGCCAGCATTAACAGTTTTGAGCATGTGGCTGTCATGGCTAGCCCCTAGGTGAGCAGCTTGGGCAGAAGGGGTTAAGCAGGCCTGTCTGACTTGTCACTGCTTTGCTCCAGCCTTCAAGGAGCTGTGGAGGGAGCGAATGCCTGCCAGGACAGAAGGCTCTGGCTTGCAGTCTTTCCCTGGGTTCATGTCCTGCCCAGCATGTGGGCCTAGGAGCCCTTCCTGGATGGCCTGGTCTGAACTGCTTGGCCTTTGAGACCATGAGTCATCTCTGCTGGGATGGTGTCCATGCTCCTTCTGCCCCTCCAGATCCTTGAGGACAGGAGTTGCAGGAGCTGCAGCCAGGTGGGAGACTGAGGGACTTAGGTCACGACAGAGGGAGAAGGTCCTGCTTCCAAGCATGGCCAAAGAGCAGCCCTGGTGGAGATGTTGCCTTGTCCTGCAGGGATGTGCAGGGTATGGAAGATAGGTCGGTGCAGCCCAGAAGCAGGCTCTCTCTCCCCAGGCAGACCAATAAAGATTGCAGCAATCTATGGAATCCAGGCACTGTTGAGCTTGGCTTGTCCCCTGCCTTCTCAGTTACCATCCACACTCAGCTGCCTGGCTTGCAGGAACGGGAACAGGCAAGATCAGCATCCCCCCTGCCTCAGAGATGTTTGTCTTGAGCAGGGGCCTGGCTGTTAATGACTTCCTTCAGGGAGGCAGCTTGCCAGGCACACGGCAGACGAAGGAGCATGTTGAGCTGAGATGCAGCACGTGCTGGCTGCCATCGGCTGCAAAGCACTTGGGTCCCCTCTCCGGTGGCTCTTCTCGGAGCTCCTGCTCTGCAGAGGAAGAGGGAAGGGGGGGTTCACTGGCAACGCAGGGTATGCTCCCCCTTCCCTGCCAGCCCCATCTCTCCTGGAGGGGCAGGGTGGGATCCAGCCCTGAATGACTCTCACTGCTGGGCAGGAGCTCCCTTTTGGGGTGTGTGAGTCTTGGCATGGGAGCAAGATCAGCTGCTAGCTGTGTTGACAATTATCAAGTGGCTTGTTTGCAGTGCTGGCGCTTGGCTGCGTCTTGCTTCTGCGTTGTTCTGCTGTGGGGATGGTGGTGGTGGTTGATGTGGTGCACAGAGCGCCTTGCCCCACAGAGTGGGGAGCAACTCCCTGGAGAAGACTCCTCGGCATCTCTTGGTAGCCAGGCCATGTGGCAAGCAGCTCATTTCCCCGTTGGGACATGCTGAAAGCCAACCTCGCAGCCCTCTGCCACTATCTGTGGTGGCACCATGTGGGCAGCTGTGCAGCAGCACCTGCGGCGGGATGTGGCTGTGGAAGTAGCTGCCACGTGGAGCTGGTGGTTTTGGTGAGTCCTGTACCAGAGGCTGTATGGGAAGTGGTGGTGTAGGGAGCAGAACCTGTTACCATCCTTCATTGCAACTTTCCGTGGCTGCTCAGGGGCAGGAGGCTGCCTGCACCTGATTTGGGAGCTCAGAAGGTGGCTGAGCAGTCCCTAGGGCAGATGTGAGCCAGAGGATGCTACCTCATCTTGGACCTTGGTTGTGCATCTCCAGTGCCCTGGCAAGGGTGACAGCAGCAGTCAGGCCCCTCTGTTTAAGTGCCCATCCACTTCTCTTGGAAATCGCTGGATTCCTTTGCCTGGGTGGAAGAAGGATTGTGTTCCCAGTGATTATAAAAACAGGGTGAGAATCTGGGATTCTGTGTAGTGTATGTTCTGGGAGTGTTTAAATGTCACCTTGGTGTACGGGGGACTACTTGCACTTTCTTTCAGTTTTGTGTCTTTGTTGGGGCCCGTTCCCAGTGCTGCTAGGTCCGTGGGTGAACCACTCTTCACCAGGGCAGGAGTGCGGGACCACAGCTCTTCCCTGTGCCTGAGCTGGGAGCAGCGAGGTTGATCCCTGGACACCGGGTGTCTCGATGCCCGACGAAGCCTGTCCTCTGGGCAGCAGCGCAATTTGTGCGTATTGCCCGGCATCCACAGGCAAGAGTCTGAGCCCTGTCCTGGCTGAACGCCTTTGCTGTAGCTGGGACGCTCTGCAGGAACGACAGCGGCTCGGTCTGGCTGCAGCGAGCCGGTGTCCTGGGCTG